TTTGGAAATAGAAGATGACCAGAATAAAAGATCCTAAACAAGTGGCCAGCACCATCCGGCAGATCCTACTCATCCTCATGAGGTCCAGTATGGTTTGTTTCATGGCTGGGCACGGAGGGACAGAGGGAGGGAGGCTGCCGAGCCGAGCCCCGTTCAGCGGGTCTGTGTGTTGATGCTGATGCTCTCTTTCTCTCTCTCCCTCTCCTATCTTTCTCGCTGCTGCCGCCCGCGTCCGTGTCTCAAAGATCTGCGCGCTGCTCCCTCGAGTGCACTATACCTTCCTCCGCACACTAGGCTACAGCGGAGAAGCCCCGCCTTCTCGCGCTGAATGAACGCGCCCACACTGGAAAGTGCTTTCATCCTTAACAGCATCTTTATATTCAGTTTCTCTTGATTTCAATCTTACATTTAGACATTTAGCAGACACTTTTAATTTCAACTTGAGGATAAATTAAGCAAGTTATCACTGAAGTTTTGACCTCATTCTGTAATACAGAAATGCGCACTTGTAACCTTATTTTAGAACTTCCGATTCGGTTACCTATAGGAGAAATGACTAGGAATACTCTACCAACAAGTGTGGTCATGACTATACATAAAAACTATAATAATAAACACCAGTTTGTAAGCATAACAAGCAGTTTTTAACGACTATAAATCAATAAAAGTGAATGAGACCTGAAGTCTCGATTCCAATGGCGTCGCCCATGCATACGTGAATAAGGTCAGTTTAAATGCTGTATAGCTTGATGAGTCAATGAATTGTAACTTCATTTTCTTTATCATTGACTACGCTGTCATCAGTAATCAAGTTATTTGCATTAATCTAATTAAGACAATAATAAGATTAAGATTAATCTTTCACTTTTATTCGGGCATGTCCCACATGACAAACGAGATAATGGATGCAACAGCCTGATCTCATGAGAAAACGTAAGTATTTTACGTTTTGCCAGTTTAGTGGCTAATTCGTACGAATTCGTACGAGTTCAGTTGTACGAAATGGTACGATTTTAAAAAGGAGGCGTGGCACCTGACCACACCCCTAACCCCAACCGTCATTGGGGGATAAGCAAATCGTACTAAATTGTACGAATTAGATCGTACGAATTCATACGAATTAGCCACTAAATGAAAAAGTTACGAATTGCCGTGAGATTGTGTTGGATGCAACTATGAACTGCTGGAAGAGTTTTTTTTTTTTTTAATGGAGGTTCATACCGCATGCTTGAATGGAAGGGAAAAAAAGCTCCGCAATTCACTAACGCCCCAGTATAGTGACGGGATTCTATCTGCTCAGTATGTGTCGTCTTTCGGATCTCTCTCTGTGGTCGTGAAAAATCCCAGGATGTCCTTCGATAAAGAGTAGGGGTTTAATCCTGGCATCCTGATCAAGTTTGCCCACTGGCCTCTGTCCATCATGGCCTTAACCATCCCCTCTCCACCAATCAGCTGGTGTGAGGTCTAGCTGCCATTGCATCATCCAGGTGAATGCTACACACTAGTGGTGTATATAAATGCTGTATTATTATTATTACATTTCTGCTGTACAGTAACTAACTGAGCTTTTTGCGCTGTGATAAACGTAAAATACTGTAATTATATACAAGAACAAGATGCAGTGTGAGATACTCTGGCCTAAATAAAACAAAGTCTGTGGTCAGATTGGTGGGAATCACTGCGACATGCGCTGGTACATAATGCAGAAGTTGGAAAGACAAGAAAAAGCCTGATGAATATTTGCCAGCAGGGGTTATTTACGCTTTTAAAAATGATTTTCATTGCAGATGAGGTGCCTAAATCAACACACTGAACAGATGATAAATAAACCTGAAGAAAACAACAACAAAGCTAATTGAATTGAGCCTGCTTATACACACCAGTTTGCACACACGCAGCCTTTGGCAAACAGTGTTCAGTCGATGTCCCCCTGTTGTGAAGCATGCATTCAACACAAAGCCAATCACAAAGGCAGAACCGACTTGGGAGATTTAAAGAGGGAACTAATCAATGCTAAAGCCTAATAGAATGTTAATTATTTATTAATGCGATCCCCGCATTAGTAAAGTTGTCTCTACATAATCTTTCGAAGTTACTCCGGGGTGGGCGCAGAAGAGTTTGTGCCCAAATCTAAATTGAAAATTAAGTCCTAATTTACATGGATAGAAACTGTCACAACATTTCCTCCTCGCTAATATAATTACGCATTCACGCTCCACGGCGTACGGTGCTGAGTGAAGCAGAAAACCTTTAAAATTCATGAGTGATTCTGCATTCTGGACCTGCTGATTAGAGGCACTTTCTGAGGTGTCCATTCCCAAGAGGAAGCACTCAGAGAATTAGGCCAGAATTACAAGGTCATGGTGTTGATGTCCTCTGGGCCCCTGCGAAAAAAGACAAGGGAGTTTTTACTGTACAGCAAGAAATTAAAGTGTATGGAAACTCCTAGTAAATGCTGTCATTTGTGGCCGGCCTGTGACCATAAGTGGAACTTCTGTGCCAGTTTCGGCTTGAAATATGCAGCTAGAACTGGTGAAATATAGGGAAGTGTGTATTTTTGACTTAGAGTAATTAGTTAAAGCTGTTACTGTACGCGCTAATGAGGAAATTACAGTGCCTGTTAAATGCATCACATAACTCTTTTCTCTCAGGTCAGTGATGAGCATGTCAGGGTTTTGTAATTAGAATTGGATATTTCAGAGCTGGCATGTTCAAATTGGTTTTTTTTAGGAAATGTTGGCCTCTAGGCTACCCACATCAGCAGTCAGAAATAAGCCAACTATACAGCAGGAAGGAATTAAGACCACTTGAAAATTCTCTTGTTTTTAATAAATTTAGTATTGAGTAAAACATTTTCCCCCTCAATTACAACAAATGAAAGCATGTTTTTTTTTTGTTTTTTTTTGGACCAATTGGCATTTCTAAGGGGAACAAATATCTGTTCAAATTACAACAAATATTATCAGATTTTTGCAGAATGAAACTATTAACATTTTCCTCAAGCCCATAATAAATTCAGTGAAACCAGATAAACTGAATTCTGGTTTACCTAAGTTTCTTTTAATTAAATAGATATTTTCGAATGAAGGAATGAATGAATGAATGAATGAATGAATGAATGAATGAATCCACATAAAATGAATTTGGGTATACGTATCTTAATGTATTCCATTTATAGCTATAGATATTTTGGATTCAATTAAGGAATTGATTTATTTATTTTTATTTAGTGTTTGAGTAAAACAATTTTCCTCTTAATAACAACAAATGAAAACGTACTAACCTATAACAAAACACCAAACCTATAATAAGTCCAGTGAAGACCAACAGAATTCGGGTATATCTTAATTTTTCTAATAATATAAATATTTTGGTTCAAATAAATATTTAAATAAATTAATAAATTGTGTTTGAGTAAACACAACAAATAAATAACAACAAATGAAAACATGTTTTTTTTCTAACAGACAGACAGACAGACAGACAGACAGACAGACAGACAGACAGACAGACAGACAGACAGACAGACAGACAGACAGACAGACAGACTGATTGATTGTTTGATTGATTGATTGATTGATTGATTGATTGATTGATTGATTGATTGATTGATTGATTGATTGATTGAATCCAGTTGACAGTGAACCCAGATAAACAGAATTCGGGTATATCTAAATTTCTTCCAAGATATAGATTTTGGTTAAAATAAATAAATGTATTAATTAAATTATTTATTTATTTAGGACTATTTATTTAATGTATTAGTATGTTTTCCCCTAAATAAAAATAAATGAAAACCTGTTTCTGCGGAATTGTTTTTAGAAATTACAGTTTATTTATTATCAGACCTTTACAGGAGGAAACAAATATTAACTTTTTTCTCAAACCCTTAATACATCGACATAAACAGAATTCAGGTTTATCTTAATTGCTTCTATTTATAGCTATAGATATTGAGGAATGAATGAATGAATGAATGAATGAATGAATGAATGAATGAATGAATGAATGAATGAATGAATGAATGAATGAATGAATGAATGAATGAACGAATGAACGAACGAACGAACGAACGAATGAATGAATACCAACAAAATAAAACGTTTGTTTTCAGAATTCAGACCAATTGGCATGTCTGAGGGGGGAAATAAATCTGTTTCTCTAAATGACAAATATTATCAGACCTTCACAGAATGAAAGAAAAATAAATCCAGTGAATCCAGATAAACAGAATTCTGATATATCTTAATTCCATTCACTTATAGCTATAGATATTTATGTAATTTTTTTTGATAGATTGATTGAACATTATTAAATTAATATAAAAAACATTTTAATATATACCAGTAATATTTACCTGAGACGTGCAAAGGGAAAATAATCCGGAATAAGAGGAAACAAAAAGGATGTACACATGCTTTCATTCACCAATTTACATAAAATCAATTTATATGCTAATTACCAGTGTTGTATAGGCCTATGTGTTAAGAGCATGGATCTAATCATGTCATCAAACCTAATGAAAGGAACATAATGAGAAAAGAGCGCTTTTAAGATTAAAGCGGGGAAAGGTTTGCAAAGGAGCATAAACACTAAAATATAATACGCAAATGAGCTTGAGTTTGAATCCAGCGCGCCCCCTGGTGACCTACTTCCGCGCGTGCACAAGCGCGAGCACAAACCGTCTCGCGCAGCTCCATTTCCGTCCAATCAAGTTGCAGCGCGAGCGTGAGTCAGGTTTGTATTTGTCGCTCCGGTCAAATCAATCGCTTCAGATAATTCTAGCGTTTAGTTGATAGTAATGACCTTTACCGGCAGGTTTTACAAGTGTTACCGGGCCGAAATACCCGTTAAATAAAGGCATTGTTGAAAGGAAAGCTGTTTGAGCATGGGTAACGTTAAGGGATTATTAGAGTGGAGAGATGGAGGCTACATGTACGCGAGGCCCCGATGAGATATTTTACAACATTTTACAAACACATGAGCCTTATTTGTAAAATAAGACAGCTGTATTTAAGTTAAAGCATCTAACATGTCCACAAATGAGCCGTTTCCCTGTTGTTAAATGTGGGTAATTAGCTAGCTTGAGCTGGCGTCATGCTAACCCGCTAGCTTGACTATCATAACAAAGGCAGCAAGAGATGCAAACAGATAATTATGTAACCACGTATTAATGGCATATTCTACATGTTTATTTCATATTTGTTTCTAATATTTATTTTATCCTATATATTTGTAAATATGGTTCGTAAACAGTGTAAATATTTAACGTTACTTAAATTTATTTATCAATATTTACTATGCTATATTTAGCCATCTATATGTTCAATATTACCGTTCATGTTGTTAATATTATGAATATTGTTAATATTATAGCTGGATAGAAGTATAAATTCTTGAATTAATGTATAAATATTGTCTATCCCATATTTAAGCTGCCATATGTTTGTTGTTATGATTTGTATTGGTGATTGTTTTTTATTTGTTCAAATCACATTGTAAAAAAAATAAATAAATAAAGGGTTATTAGCATGCATTTCTTACAGATAAAGAAAACAAGCTGTAGATTGGAATATATATTCAAATAAAACTCCTCTCTGTGCTTTCAGATGGACGGAGACAGCAGCACCACGGATACCACTCAGTTAGGAATAACTGGAGAGTATATGGCCGGAGGGACATATGTCTTAGCCCAGGAAGGTAAAGGAACGAAGGCATTCCAACATCTAAACAAACCAAAAACAGGGCAGAATGATGTGACCATAAAGAGACAAAATTATTCACATAGTTGCGGTGTTGCTCACTTCAAAACAATTAAGCACATTTAGCCAAGCATACAACATTGTTTTGCATTAGAGCTGCACATTACATGTCATTTCAGCATTGATAATGTAACGTGTGCATCCACAATAGTCACATCGTAGCGATAAATGCAATGTTGTGTGGACTTGCAGTGTAATTTTTACATTTGCAAATACAAAATCATAATACATGCACTATTTATTTAACTTTTATCTTAGCTTTGTTGCATTTATCTATGCTTGTAGTTTATTACATGTCATGCATGATTCACTCTCCCACAGAATCTGCCCAATCAAAATCAATACATTCGGTAACACAATCAATTCTCACTATAACTAGTTGCTTATTAGCATGCATGTTATTGAGATATTGGCTGCTTATTAGTACTTTTAAAGCATATGTTCTGTATGATCTTGTTCTACATCCCTAATCCTACCCCAATACCTAATGTACCCTAATAACTATTAATAAGGAGCAAATTAGAAGTTTACTGAAGCAAAGTATAAATGGTTTGCTAAGAGCGAAAACTGAACCTCAATATAAAGTGTGACCAAAAATTCTTTCCAAGTATATCGCAATGTACATCACAGAAAAACAAAGATGTCAGAATTTTCCAATATCATGCAGCCCTATTTTGCATGTTTGCTTTCATCAAAAACTGTAAACTCTAAGTGAAGCATGGCTAAATGTGTAATTTTCTTCAATGTACTGTACCAAACAAGCTAAAAGAGAAGAACTAGACCCCTTAGAAAGTATTTTTTATTATTGTAAGATAAGAAGCTGCATTTTGTTGATTAAACAACAGTTTATCTGGAGAGACTTTAATTGAAATATTTTTAAATGTGAATCCTTCTAAAATTGAAGAATTTTTATTAAAAGGAAACCTTAAAAACTGTTTTAGAGTTTTATCTTGTATATTATCATCATTATTATTATTATTTATGCATTTTACTTTGTATGTTATTTATTGCTGTTGATGGCTTTTAATTGTTCGAATATTTTTATAATTATAGAAATGTAGTATTTATAAAATGTGGTAAACTTGATCTGTTTTTTTTTTGTTTGTTGCCATGACATGGCTATAGAAGCTGAAATGGCAATAAAATTAAAACTCTCTCTCTCTCTTTGCATTTTGTTGAATATTTTGTATTTGTTTTATCTGCAGATGATGGGGATGAAAGTTTTAATGACCATGATGATGGAAATGGCAGCAAAGACTTCTTCAGAGAGCAAGACATTTACCTTCCTATCGCTAATGTCGCCCGCATCATGAAGAATGCCGTCCCACAAACTGGAAAGGTATTTGCTCTTTTTTTATGTGTGTGTGTTTCATGATTACTCCTACAGCCTTGGAAAGCCTGTAAATGTTATATTATAAATTAAATTGCACTGAGAGCTGTTTCTGTGTTTAGTATTTCAAAAACAAAATTCAGTTATTCAATTAAAGAACTTGTCTGCTTTCACTTCTCGTTTCAATCGCAGATCGCGAAGGATGCGAAAGAGTGTGTGCAGGAGTGTGTGAGCGAGTTCATCAGCTTCATCACATCCGAGGCCAGCGAGAGATGCCACCAGGAGAAACGCAAGACCATAAACGGAGAGGATATCCTGTTCGCCATGTCCACTCTGGGTTTCGACATGTATGTGGAGCCGCTTAAACTCTACCTTCAGAAGTTTAGAGAGGTATTACTCCTTCTCTTACATACAGACCAGTTCAAAGTGTCCCATCTATGCTATTATTCCTGATTTTATTTTTTTGGAGGTCACCTATAATACGTCATCCATCTAAGGTCAAAACACACTAACTCTATAGCCTCATGGAAGGCAAGGCAAGTTTATTCATATAGCAATGGTAATTCAAAGTGCTTTACATAAACAAGAATATAAGGAACAAGTATAAAAATAAAAACATTAAAGAATAAAAATGATTAAAAACATTAAAATGTTAAAACACCGAAAAGAAAAGAAAGACAATAGTGCGATCTGTCGGCACAGCTTTACAGATGTGTTTTAAGTCTTGATTCAAAGGCTTAAAACCGTTTGCCAACATGTAGCGCTATTGCATTTTGAGCATCATAAGTTTCCAGAGTCTCAGATTGCAGACCTTTCCTGAATTCATCTCCAGTCTTTTGCTCCAACTTCACTTCCTGTCTAGAAACTCTCCTATCATAATAAAGGCAAAGGAACTGCAAAGAAAATCTTACAGCAACAATATTTTTTTTTAAGTAGTCATAGTATCACCTGTTTTCTCAGTGTAAACAGTTAAGCATAAGGTTACTCTAAGCATTTTTTCGAGAGCCTACTCTGCTCTGATTGGTCAGATGGCACAGCATTTTGTGATTGGCCAATGGCTTACAATGCGTCTCTGCAACTAAACTCATTAAGATGGGAACTTAAACTGTTTCGGTTAGTTTGGAATTGGTTCTGTCATTTGGTGAATAATACTTTAATTTTATCTGCACTTAAATCTATGCTATCTATATTACACATTACATGCAAAATAATAATAATAATAATAATGTTCAAAAAGCTCAATTATTTGTCAGATGGCACAGCTTTTGTGATTTGAATGGCTTACATTACGTCACAGCAACTGAACACACATTAAGATTTAAATTGCTTACAAACTGTTTCAGGTTGTTTGCAATCGACTCTTTCATTTGGTAAATCTATATTATCAATATTACACGTGCAGAATAATAATAACAACATTAAAAAGCTTAATAGGGGTACTTTAAACATTTAAAATACATTACTCCATATCATAAGCCAAACAATTAATGTTCCACCTGTAATAAGAATTATCAAGAACATTTCTTTGAGACGTTTCGCCTCCACTTATGAAACAATATTGCAGTATTTATTACCTCCGTATGTCATTGTATTTTTAGAGCGCATGATTTTAGAAATGAAGTAACATTCTCTTGTTTCCAAGGCAATGAAGGGCGAGAAAGGCATCACTCCGGTTGCTGTTGGCGAAGGCCTTGGAGAAGATCTTACAGATGAGACTTTCAGTAAGTGCGAACTCTTTCATGAATATCAGGTTGTTTTGCCCACGAGTTCGAGTCAATAGATTGTTGAGTATCTACCGAAACCCGATCCAACACTTGTATTACACATTAAAAAAGAGAACAGAGAGTGAAGAAACAGATCCAGGATTATTTCATTCACCTTGTTTTAAAATTCAACAACTCTGTTAACAAACAGAGCACTTCTTTATGGTAACTTGAACAATCAAGTAATAAATAGCATCAATTCTTCACTTTTGGACTTTAGTGCAACAGTAAATATTAAAAAACAATCTAATACAAAAACACCTCAACGTAAAATACCCGGCAGGCAATCCCAAGTTTACATATCTCATAGTTTGCTTTGGCAAAGTTGTCATTAACTTTATAGTACCTCCAGACCGCAGACATACTCGCTCTTTCCTCTTCAAGCTGCTTCCGTGTTGTACTTATCCTGGCATTTAACCAATAGCATCTCTGCAACAAAGTGAAGTCATGCCGCACATGTTGCTGTTTCTGTTTGAAGTCAAGAAAGAGGTCTAACTCTGGACCACCACAATAACTATAGATGTGTTGAAAATGAATGAGAATATATATTCGAGTCCTGACCGGGAGGTAACGTCCAATTCCGATCTTAAACCGCGTGCCTGATTTCCGATCACGTGATCAGATCTGGACATCCCTACTTTTTAGCAATTATTTTTTACCAAAAATATAATGTGATTGATGCATAAAGCGCTGTTTGCATTGTGATTTTTAATAATTGCACTTTATAGGGTGTTCTGTTATGAATTAAGTGTTTGATGCTTTTTAACTTGCAGCCGGTCAGTTGCCTGCGGGACTGATCACTGCGGATGGCCAGCAACAGAATGTGATGGTGTACACCACTTCATACCAGCAGGTTAATATCAAAGCCTCATATTTAATTGTGGATTTCTGGAAAAGTATCAGACAGAGTGAAACATTTACTCATTTTTTTTTTTTTTTCTTTTTTAGATCCCTGGTGTTCAGCAGATACAATTCTCATGACCGGAGCACAGGCCTGACTGTATCTAGTGACCTGTCCAGCGTCCAGACAGACTTTATCTCTTGCCTTGCAAAGTTTTCAGGTCAGTGCTGGAAGACCAACAAGATGCCTGGTTACCAGAGCAGGAACAAAAAAGTGCCTGTTGCCAGGAAGATGATTTGATCTTAAGTGATGTCTTGTACTTCATTCAGTATTACATTTAGGCCAGTTTGTTTCGCTTGGTCTGCTTTGTACAGGCTACACCAAATTATGTTGTTGTTTTTTTTTTTTGTGTGTGTATGGGGGGGCGGGGGGATTCCTTGTATTTAATAGTTTTTAAAGTTCGGGATGGGGGAGTGGGAACACACAAAAAGGCCATATTGACGTTTTACAGTCCCAAAATTAAGGTAGTTCTCATTTGATCTTAATTAACTTCACCATCTGATATTGTTATGCTGATTCTTTAAATAAAATTGTGATGTCTTTGACGATTGTGTCTTTTAAAAGCATGAATAATCAGACAAAATGAATTGCAGCAGGTTGGTTACAACAGTGAGTTTTATTGTAGTACCTCTTTTAGCCTACACAAAAGACCATTTTGAGAAAGTGTAGTAAAAAATGTAACTGAAATGTTGTGTAACAGCTAAAAGAAGGTCTGTAAACATAAGTGGTGAATTAAATAGGATGCATACAGTACATGGCTTTACAAAGAAGATACTGATATCTGAGTATGTATAGAAATGTTTTAGAGAGCACAATCTGTGGCATTAATACTCTTGTAGATAATTGGCATGCTAATGGAACATAATACAGAATCATCTTTAATGCATTAGGAATTATGGAAACGGGGTATTAAAAAGCCCCCAGTAGACAGATCATCTTAATTGCATAGAGTAAATAATGAAGTAGACATATTACTATGTATAATTGATGAACGCATTAAATATTTAACCCGGCTTGCTGAATGTATATTTTTATAGAAAAATTGTTGTCCTAAATATTTTCCTGAATTATCTTTAACTTGTTCTTGCTGTAATTATTACCTACAGTGATAAGGCACAGGAAAGTTAAGCTATTAAAGTCAGTTAAGAGTAAGAACTCTTCTAAATTAGGTGAAAAACAACAGCGAAACAGAACTGCGTGGAGTTCTTTTTGTATAAACTACTGAAAATTACGCTCTTCCTAAAAATAAACAAGGCTATTTTAAGCAGTGTACAACATTGTTTTTCAAGATTACTTTCCCTCTAAGGCGTGATCCAATTTTTGTAACTACAACGCAATAAAAATATATATTTATGAACCAAATATATAAAAAAAGTCTTTAAGTAAAATGTGCATTTTACAGTGATGATGACCCATTGGACTGGCACTCAATCAGCTTCACTCAAAAGCTAATGCTTGCAGTATAAACAATACCACGACATTGTAAAAAAAACAAGTAAGGAAAAACATGATGGACTGAATCTATTTCCAGTCATCTAAGTGGTTAAATTAAAATGTCAAAAAGTCTTTATGGAATAAAAGCAGAGAGTCCTGGAGGTTTGGCATGAGGGGTGAGTTCATCTGCAGGTGGTGTCAGGCTCTGCTGCTGAACTACTGGAGTCTGTCGGCATCACTGACGGCTTCAGTTTACTCGCATCTGCAGGATGACACATTCAGATGTTAGGACTCACTATTAATATTACATTTCAGTGTATGTTAAGCAGACGCACAAAGTACAGCTATCAGTTCTGTTGCAATTTTCTGTGATACTTGGAAACACCGAAAGGAGGATTTTACTTTTCTGCGAAGTTAAAAATCTTGAAAGAAATCCACAATTATGTTTCACCATTAATTAAGCATAACACCTCGCTAGCTATGTTTTCATTCAAAGGTGCTTATTTAACTTGTGTGCAAACATTTAATATAACATAAAACATTTACAAGTGAAGCACTTGATTATGTGACTTTTTGATGTGCACGCAGTCACTTATTCTGTAAAAGTGTTTCCATTATCATCATCCATTATTATGTTAGCTTTAAATGCATCTCGACTGGGCAGTTTTTTATTGCAGATTCTTTAAATTGATTCACATCTTGGAATTTCCATTCAGCATTTATTTTACTTCAATATCCTAAAATAGAATTTCAACAAAGCTAATAAACAGCACTGTTTTAATAACATTAATAAAAAAAGAAATGATTCTTGAGCACAGAGTATCTGCGGGGTCTTAAAAGTCTCAAATTTCAAAAGCTACATTTTAATGCTTAGGAAGTCTTAAATGTCCTGAAATATTGTGTTGTAGGTCTTAAATCTTTTTTTTAACAGGTCTTAATTTTCCTTTGTTCATGTATAGCTACTATGGTTGCACGGTTAACCGGTACTCTGGTGGTATCACGATTTTGTATGGCTCCAAAATACCGGCGGTGCCACTGCAGTTTGTAAGCAGTAGTATCGCCACTAATGGTTTATCTACAACAGATAATGTTGCATGTGGAAAAGTCACTAAAATGCTCACACGCTTGTGCAACAATAGATGTTTTATTAGTCTGTGGAGCACTTTAAGGTTGCAAAACTGTAGAATTCACGCCTTTTTTATGGTAGCCTATTGCACGTTTTCTAACGATTCAGTTCGAACGCACATCTTCGATTTATTTCTGTTCCTGTTAATATGATTTAGGAGCCACAACAACTAAGACAATCTCTTTTAAAAGGACGACTCGCAAAGTGAAATTTTGAATTAGTTTGCATAGTTACCTGATAAGACTAAAAAAATTGTATGAAAAATCCAAAATAGCAACAGGAAACATTGAAACTGTTTTTGGCCACTTCATAAAGCTGATATTTGTTGGAGAAAAAAAGTGCTCTTTTGTAACAAATTGTACTCTGTATAATTTGTATCTTTATTTTAATGTATTTTTGTTGGTCAGTTATCTACAAAATAAACAAAAAGAAGGAATATATTTTAGGTGAAGTGAGGTGCAAATGATACTTTTTGCCCTTGAGGGTATTATGAAATTTTAGTATTATAACATTTATGACAATTTTCTTTATAATTTGAGTTATGAATTACAGTATCGCAATAGTACTTGGTATCGCTGGTATAGTATCATAAGATTAATTAATGGTATCGCAACATCCCCAATAGCTACTCAATCTGGCCATTAATACCCACACCATCACCAACAATCCGTCTCAATAAAACTTTTTATTTAAAAAAGCCTTTAATTACTTTCCTTACAGTAACATTTCATTTATTTAATGCTGAGCATACTGACCTGACCTATATTTTATTATTATTAATATTATAGACTGAAGTAATCAATAGCTATGTTTTGTTCTGTTCTTGGTAAGGGTTATATAGTTTGTGAATGAATATATTTGAAAGTTAATAACAAATATTCAAACTAAATTATTATTGTTATTGTATTATTAAATGTATTCAATTTTAGTCATTTTATATAGGGTAAGTGAAAATCCTTTCAAACTGGGATATTCAATAAACATCCTTAACATTTAGCCCTGTGTAATCTAAAATTTCATTGATGGTGGTCTTAAAAATGTCTTAAATTGAACTTAAACCCTGAGAGCACTAAAGCATCATTTCAGAATTATTATTGAAGGATTAATCCTCAAGGGCTAAACGTTCAGTTTGGACTCACACAGGATCCTTGGTTAGCTAATAACCATCAACAGAAGCATAAGGTAAGTTGACTTAAGTATTTATTGATTATTCAAATTCTGATTGCTTTATATGTAGATTATAGGTTAAAATGTAGAAATCGATTTACTCTCTCTAGTTTTAATTAGTTATATATACACAATCACCAGCCACTTTTAGGTACACCTGTGTAGCTGCTCGTTATCATGAGCAACCAATCAGATCAAACAAGAGGAGTTCAAACTGAGCATTAGAATGGATGAAAGGTAATTATGGCCATTTTGAAAGCCAGCTATCAAGGTGTACCTAATATCATGGAGGTGAGTGTGCATGGCTGTTTGGTGATTCAACAGGAAATGCATAAACATCAAAGACATGGCGATTGATGAAGCTTTAGAAACTCCTGCGCACCTTGCAGCCAGCGTATTTGAGTAGCCGGACCGTAGCCCTGGTCGTTCTTGGCAGCGATTCTGAAGACGATGGCAGGCCGTGCAGAGCAGTCGATGTGTGCATTGCTCAGCTGGGCTTCGGTGACTGTGCATGAAGTCTTGGTCCCCCGGTAGATTCGGATGAAGGCCAGTTCACCTGGACGCTCCACCAGGCTGTTCCCTCGACTCTTCCTCACAGCCAAATACATTGAATACTCCATGATCTTCCCGGACACTGAGGTCGGAGGCTCCCAGGAGATGTGCACAGAGTCAGTACCCTGAAATCATGCATAGCACAAAAGTGAAAATTTAACCTGTGCAAAATATTTATATCTGCTTGTTAAGTGTGACGTCAAGCGAAGCGGCTTCCTGGTCCAAGCGATATATTAAACTGTATGGGGAGACTCATAAAATTGTAATAATAAACGTTTACAAAGCTCTGTAATACTTTAGACAGTCACGATTGCTATATATATATACCTCCATGCCTAATATTCAATGGCTAGAAAGTGATTCTTTTTTTATAAATTGTTCAAATTTAGGTATTTGTGAGATTGTTGTGTGCACTGATTTTATATAAAATTACTTTAATGTTTGATATAAATATTGATCATAATTTTTTTTTTAATTCAAATGAGTGGTGGCTTGGACCCGGATAAAGTATTACATGTGTCACCAACACGTCACCACTTAACAAGCGGATAGCATAAAAGATTCAGAAAATAAGCTCTGAGAATGAAAATTCATGTTTGTTTTTTAATGCACATACAGGAATTTATTTGGTAAATGTGTTTGTATCATAGTTTATGTGCATGTATTATCAGATAAAATTGTATCTAACTCAATAGGCTATATGCACACGGGACTTTAAATGTTCAGCCAGCCAGCCTCAACACTTCTGGTAAACTGTCATTACATTATAAAATCACCACGTTCAAGGTCTGATTTCTTTAAAAATCAGTGATCTTCACTGTCTGATAGATATACAATATGATGTGGGTCTAAGACTGGACAAGAAGCACTGCATTAGATTCCACTTTCCCCCACCATCTCTTTAAAATATGAGTTTTTTAGACCCCAGTATGGAGTTTCTATGCTAGCCTGCTGGTACTCACAATGCTAGTGGATACATGCTCTTTCATCTCGTTTTACGCTTTGAATGCAACTAAATGAATGCTTCAATCTATTTAACAATGTATTTTCATGACAATACAATATCGATTCTGTAAAAGGAACCTTAAGAAATTGAAAATTGTCGCATTAAGCGTTCACTGGAAGTTGGCTGAAAAACACTTGCTGTGCATATACTACACTGAGCTTTTATGTGGATTTTTAGAATTGATGCACATCTTGGCATTTCCATCAGCATTTTTGTGACCCTGGACCACAAAACCAGTCTTAAATTGCACAGGTATAT